TTCCAGTTACATTTAAAAAGTCACATTTCTTAATTTTTCAATCTACATACTGCCCTCTTGTGTTTATTATGACTATGAAACAGTGATTCTGTGACATGAAATTCATGATCCCATATCATGGTATACCTGTATAAAAATACATATTAATTTAATGAGCAATTGAAACATTGCATCAATCTTGATAACGTCTTCGGAGAAATTTAGGATTTTTCTGAAAAAAACCCAGCCACATGACACCAAAAATTGACCAAAGAAATAAAACTGTAACTTTATAATTATACATACTGGACATTACTGAAGCACACTATTATTATTTAGTTACAGTGTGGATAAATAGATATTCTCCATTTATATTAAAAAAAATGTAAATTCTTTTTCAATTGTTTGAATAATGAAACAACATTACTGACAAAATGATGTGCATACAATTCAGTTACTAGTCAAACAATACCCAGAGTAAAAGAACTACGTGTGCAGTGATAATAAAATTCAAATGGCTTTTATAGTTAGTAAAGTATTTAGGACGCAATCTGCAAAAATAATTAAAAAAATAGTAGACCTAATGCATAAAAACTGTGACATGGTATACAATATACACCAAAGTCATCAGAAACTAGTAATTCATAACTGACACATCTCTGACAGTAAGCAGTCTAAAATTACTAAAGAATATAAATTAATATTATATTATCCATATTATGTACATATATCCTGCTATACCAACTTACATAATACACTCCACACTAAAATTTGACAAATTTCTTACGTAGTTTTGTTAAATATCGGTGATGTATAGACTTAAGCCTATACAGTATAACGAAACATTCAGTAACAATATGTAATGTAACGATTGACACTACGATACAAACAATTATGTTGATCTGGGTTTGCTCGGGGAACGCAACGCCACGACATGCAAAGTATCGTTCTGTTCAGACTGTTGCCGACAATCATCTGGCACTCATACAGAGTGGAACTGGCCGACAGCTGTATGACTGCCATCCAACGCAAAGAGTGCTTGGTTTAAGGCATCGTAAGAAATTGATTTGAGGCAATAAAATCATTGGGGAAATGTTCCATTGCATGGTAAAAAATTAAGTTTCAAACAGTTACATATAAAAATGGTTGACAAATTGCAAATATTTAAATTGTGAAATCATGAACAATTGTTATCAGTGGTAAAGCCCAGAAATTAATTATGTCTACAATGTCTTACTAGAGGCAGATTTAAGGGGCCCAGTTGACCTGTGTCCCATCCTCACTCCTAACTTTTGAAGATTAACAACCATGGAGAAACAAAAATACACTATGTTCAAATTAAGTCTGAGAGTGCCATTTTCTACAATCTAGGATTTGCTAATATTTTATGCGTCAGCCCTAACAATTCAACCGTTGGTGGAGGCTGAGATGACACTTCATCTTACTCAACCCCCATTATTTTGAATTCCCAAATCCACAACTGGATACTCTAATAACAGGAACATCAACTGCAACTTCAATTTTAACTTGCAACCTTTTAATTATTTGAAATTGATGCTTGCCTGTAGGACATTGAGGCACATTTATCTAAACCATACATTATTATAATTATTTCTTATTCATATACTGTAAAAAAGTTACAAGTACGATTCTTTTGGTTGTAGGGTGGGTTACAGTTTGAGTATGGGCAAATAAATATTTGGTCACAATTATTAAGCACACAATATGCATTGGAAAGTAATAGCCCACCCATGCTTATTGCGTCTGTAAATACTAATAATAGTAATAAAGGAGTTTTATATAGTGCTATATCCATCTAATATAAGATGCTCAGGGTGCTTGATATGTGAATTAGGAATTTGTAAATTCACACAAATAACAGTTAAGTAAAAGATTAGTGAGTGGTGAAATTATACAGGTATACATTTTTGTTTTCCATAGGCATTAATCCGTAAACCAACCATATTGATTTGACTGCAATCTGTAGGCCTAATGCCTACCATTGAGGGCCTATAATTGGTAGGAGGACGATACTCCCAAAAAGCTGTTTTTGTTTATAAATACCATGTACCAATGTCTACTGTACGGTCACTACTCTGATTTTTCTCTAGACTCTCCCCTTTATGAAATTTATTACACTTTTATACACGTCTGGATGGAGTGTTTACCAAAACAAAATCAATTTTCTTTAAAAATGTAATACTCGCCCATTCGTATGAAAATGAATCGTTGATTGCAGTCAGTGTGTGCATGTAATTTGATGCTGAATCTTCAGATGAGGATTTATGGATATTTTATTTCTACAAATATTGACAACAACCTGTTGGAACTATTACTGTGATCAACAGCAAACTTTGGAAGGAAGTATTTTGAAAAAAAAAAAGAATATTTCCTTTATTAATGTTTTCTCAGATCTTTTAATTATTGTTCTACCCTAGCACTGAGGTGTATTCACACTAACTCTGAATTTTCGGATCAGAATGCTTACATACTGATCAGAAATACAAAATCAGTATACTGTATAATAGGGGTGCTAACACATTCTAAATTTTGCTTTGTTTTAAAATGGGTGTACTGCCCTCATGTCCATCACTCATAAAACGTGTATAACATATCTGCGGCCCTTATTTATCGTAAAATAGAACGACAGAAATCATTTTATTATTGATATTAGGTGAAACATGCATAACATTCATGTAAATGTCCTACATACAAATTTAATACTGTATGTATCATTCCATGCTATTGCACTATAGCAATTATTACTATACAATATTTTTAAGTTACAACTTGCATTACATCTTGCAAGCTCTCTAAAGTATTGTCTACACAACAATATCTAGCAAACTTTTCCTGAATTTTTATACAAAATAATCTGTTCATAATTGAACAGTTAAGAAAGACTTTTTCCATTCTTAATTTCAACGGAAGCCCGAGCGAAAGAAAAGTACAACAATCTTTCTACAAATCAGTATCATCAAATGACAATTATTTTTAATGATCATGCATTACTTAAGATATAATTTAAATCAAAAATGATAAATAAATGTAAAAATGAATAAACTTAATAATATGCAAGAAATATAAAAATAGTATTTTTTTACAAGCTTAGATCAAAGAATTTATTATACACAGTGTGAAAATCTTTATTATAAACAGTGTCTAGGTGTGGTAGCCTAAAGTTTGAAACAAATGAGTAACAGAATACTAACAAATGAAAAGTACATTATTATATAAATACAAAGTACTTTACATTCATAGATATCAAATTTCCTTATATGGTTGCTATTGACATAATTTGTTCATAACAGACCTTTCAGGAGTGTCAATCAAACTTAACTGACCAATCAGAACAGTGCCGGGAATACGCGCCTGTCTCACAAACAAGCGTGTTGTCCCACAAATATACGTGTTTGCGTATGTTTATTTAAGGTCGTTTTGTGGGACCTAAGCGAAAATATCCAAGGGGCGGGGCTTACCAGAAAGGTCCATTACATAAAGCGCTGTGCAGACTATCAATTTTTATTTGACAAAAACATATGACATGCCTAAATATGGTCATGATGACATCACATCATTACTATATGAAAATACAACAGTTTTTTTTTTTTGTCAAAGAAAATTTGATAATTTGGAAAGAGCTTAATGCACTGTCCATAATATAAAATGTTATGTGACAAATGTGTGTGCCCATATATATATATACATATATATATATATGGGCATGATGATGTCACATTACATCCAAATATGGGCATATCACAATTATTTGTCACATAAAATTTGATAGTGTAGACAAAGCACGAGAATGAAATATTTGACATTTTTTTAATACCTTGACAGCACACTTATTTTTTTTAATATCGTCAGAGGGCAGGAAAAAAAATAGTTTTATCATTTTAGCACAATAATTTTGCCATAAATATCTAGGTGAGTAGAAAATAAAAATTAAATTTTACTGATGAATGTAAACAGTGTAACAATGAAACAGATAAATGCTTTATATATAATTATTGAAGAAATAACATATATCTTATATTTATATATAATCATTGAAGAAATAAAATATATCTTATATTTTTAGATTTCAATGGAGGGTATTAATAAAAATAAATAATTTTTTTTTTCGAGGCAGAGGGTGCACTAAACTGGCCAAAAATAAAATTTTATTTTTATTTGAAATCACTATTATTGGTAGTTGGAGAGGTAAACAAGGTATACAAAGTCTTGCCTTTTATATGGTGGTATTGCCAATATCTACTGAAAGGCTGCTGATGCACTGTAACCTTTGACACTGAAATTGTGTCTGACATCTTCTTGAATTTTTACATTTTTCTTTTGAGCAGCTTTTGTAAAGCTCTATACAGATTATCATCTTTGACAAAAAATTGGTGTATGCCCATATTAGTCATGATATAGGACCTAGAATAGAATTTACAATAGACTAAGGCAAGAGATGAAGATGCATAGCTAGAAACATTATGTGAGTAACTGTAGTCGTGCGCAATGTATGTCTATACTGAAATATCTTTGTGATAGCTAATTCAACACTATTCCTTTGAAGACAAAATTCCAAAATTTAAACACCTTTAAATGCCCTCTAAAGATCATAATTTTCAATTTTTTTTTCTTATGTTTGGGAGGGGGGTGCATTCATTTTAGAAGGCCTATTTAGTTTTTCTGGCTAAACCCCTGATGACACCACATAGGCTGCTGTCTCTTATACACATCTAGATGTGTATAAGAGACAGTAATAAAAGAAGCAATAGAATTAGATTTTCACTTAAAAATGGTGGTTAGTTAAACCGAGTGGATTGTGCCCGGTAAAACTGACCAGGTTAATTTTAGTGGATTTCACAGATTATCACCGTCAATAGTTGATTTTCATGGCTCGGTTAGTATTACCATTTCACATTGTAAAACTAACCAACTCACAAAATCAAAGTGTGGATAGTGGCAAGCCTTAAATTTGAGCCTTGAGCTAAATCCAGCAGAAGTATCCAGCAACTGCGCCAAGATCCTTACCTCTTATTCGGTGTAGCTATTTTGCTCCTTGGTATAGTTGAGCTACCGGTAAGTCTAGGCTTTGGTATTCCACTACCACGAGAACTACTCATCTCATTGCCGATTGCCCGGATGGGTATCCCCTTACCCTGAGGTGATAGAGACCGTCCTTTTGATGGCGATGGTGGCTTAAGACCGCCTTTAGGTGGTGTCATTGACCTATTAACTGGTATCGTGCCAGGCTGTTTTGATCGTGCTTCTTGGCCGTTATGTGCCCGTGGTGATCCTCCAGGAGAGGAATTGAATGCTCTGTTCAGGTTCGGCATACTCCCTCCATGGCCTTCCTTTCGTACTATAAACAAAAAATAATAAGTCTGATATAAAACCGAATAGAGCTAAATATACAAAAGAGAAAAACAGCCTCTTGTAAGAAGTGATGTAATGAAAATAGTAGCTAAAACTTTAAAAAAGGTACATAAATTCATGTATATTTTGGGAATATATAAAAAATGCTATAAAAACACAATTTAACAAAAGTACACCTACGTATGAAGAAAGAGAAAAATTACAATACGATATACACTGTTTATGATTATAAAGTTAAAGATGCATTGGCTTAAGGAGCATGGTGAGGATTTAAAGCAGCCTTCAAGTGGCCCTCCCTGCAAGTAACTCTAACACCTGTGTGAAAGTAATGCTTTATACCTGCTATTGTAAATTGATGATTTGCAATGCATGTGCGAGGAGGAGGTAATAAATATACTTTAAATCAAAATTCAATGCTTTAATTTCTTATAACTAGCTGTCAATTAACGATTAGGCAGGATATATTGAGCTGATAGGATGCCTATTTGATACACAGAATTGTTTTTATGCTATATTGTAGCTGCTCCAGAACCCTGACCTTACGGATGGGCAAATTCAAGTAATAGCCACAAAAACTAAACATTTTTGTAAAAATTACAACTTAAAATATACTCATTTAATTCTATTCATATTACAACCTTGTAATTCCCTTTCCATAGCTCCTGAAATACACTGGTTGATCAAAGTATAAAATTAAGAAATATTTTTAGTGTTTCCTGTTTGACCATCTGGGATGTTTTTATGTATCCATTCTGTAAGTTGGGGTTACCACTTTTGGATGTGAATTGAAATAAAAAAAAAAAAAAGTACATGGTATATCCTAAAAATATAGGTAATGAAGAATGACAGAAGCAATGTGGTGTAGAAATAAATAACACCTTCAAATTTGAGACCACCTTTGGGACTTAAACATTTGGGGTGGTCTTTGTGTTGGACCTCCACTTAGAGGATTAGCTTTTGAAGATATCTATTTGGTTCTTTGAAAAAATAGTCTCGAATTAGAGGTCTCAACATAGAAAATGTTTACAATTACAGTATAGATAAAAATACATATAATTGATAAAGACTAAAAAGATGCTGAAAAGCATTATATATCTATAAAAATATTGAGTAGGCCTATATCATAAAATAATTTAACAGAGAAACATTCACTTTAATAACTTAAATGTAAATTTATTAATTGTTATCAACATTAAAAAATAATGATACAGTAGTCATACAAAGTTAACTGTAAGAGTTGAAAGAAAAAAGCACATTGACATAAAAATTCAAAGAATTCTGGCACATCAGAATCACGTTAGATTTACTGTACTGTACATTACAACAAAAAACCCCATTGCAAACATGCACTTGCTTTATTAAGTAGAAAAACCAAAGTCAAATATCACAAGGTTATTGAAGGATTTACACTCATATAAAGTAAAAACTGACTGTTAGTGATTCAAAGTGGGGAAAATAAATGTTAAGCAATGCGCAGAGGAACCAATAGTGAATGATATGAATTGAAACATTGAATCTTTCAACAGTTTTAATTAGTAGTTCATGTTCTGAATAATCATATGTATCCAAATTTGCCAATAAAAGAATAACATCTCAGGATGCTTATTTTTACAACTGTACAAAAAAATGCAGACTTCTCATTTAATAATTAAAAAGGACAGTTCAAAAAGTTTGTTTCTAGACAATCCTATAGGATTACCGTTCTATATAACTTGTTATACTTGTTTGTTTTGTTATTAATTTGTAATCCAATAATAATTATGTTTGGTGCTAACAATCCTTGCCCTATATATTATTTGGTTTTTCAATTATTTTATTTGAATGACAGTTGAAGTTCAATAAATCAAACATATCGTTGAACGATGTGAAACTACAACAATGCAACACATTTTTTAATTACAAGCTCAACGTTAAGTAATCATCATTTTTTGCAATGTGGGGAAAGACACCAAACTACCACCACCAGCACCACCACCACAAAACAATCTATATATTTTTGTCTACCTTCATCATCATAAACCTCCTCAACGTATACCGGTTCTTGAACCGGTACCGTGTGGTGCGGGTGTTCAGCCACGCTGGTCAATCCCGGCGCAAATGCTGTTAGGAGGCAAATTATTCAGAAAAGAAAACAGTGAAGAAATTAAACGGTTATTAGTTGTTAAAACAGAGCTGAAAATGAGGAGTGTTTCTTTTTTTCTTTTTTTTTTTATTTTGGCAGAAAAGAGACGAAGAATATTATTTAAAAATTAGTTATATATCATTAGGTCGAAATTACAGATGAAGCAAGTAAGTAATTTTTATGCAATATGAAAATCACAGAAGTTTAATTTAGTTCAATCTGAAATGACAATAATGTGTTATCTCAAAGCAATTCCATGCTACAAAATATTACAGCAATGATGGAAGTAATAGTAGTAATTACAATCCCTATCAAACTGTGTTGCTACAACAATTATGCAATTCACTACACTGCACTGACAATGTTGCATAAGTAAAAAAAATCATAATAACAATTTTCTGGAAGAAAGTTTAGCGGTATTATTTAAAAATATTTTATCTCAACATGCACACACTTCTTAAAATGATTTTTCATTATGCAAATCAGACAATACAAGACTTACAAAAAATACAAGCAATCTACCACATACTCAGTAGACATGAGCTGGTTGTAAATCCATCATGTTAAATATTAAGAAACATTTAACAACAGTCAAAACCAAATCAAATCATAATTTAAAACATGAATGTTTGGTAAACTAAAAATAAAACTCAGAAAACATGTGAAATACTAAACATATTAAACTGCATACTGACAGGAAGATCCTTGGAATGTGTGTGACATGATTATCCTCAACTTAAATTAAGAAATTTAGGTTTAAGTTGTGTTTATGAATTGATGCTCATGTGAATGACAGATGAAATGATGCTCATGTGAATGACAGGTGAAATGATGGTAAGGTGAATGAGAGATAAATTAGTGTTCATGTGAATGGCAGATAAAATGATACTCATGTGGATGTTTGATGAAATGATGTTCATGTGAATGACAGATGAAATGTTAATGTGAATGGCAGATGGAATGATACTAAGGTGAATGACAGGTGAAATGATGCTAAGGTGAATGAGAGATAAAATGGTGCTCATGTGAATGGCAGATGAAATGATGCTCATGTGAATGACAGGTGAAATGTTAATGTGAATGGCAGATGGAATGATACTAAGGTGAATGACAGGTGAAATGATGCTAAGGTGAATGAGAGATAAAATGGTGCTCATGTGAATGGCAGATGAAATGACGCTCATGTGAATGTATGACGAAATGAGTGAATGAGAGATAAATTAGTGCTCATGTGAATGGCAGATAAAATGATACTCCTGTGGATGTTAATGAGAATGACAGATGAAATAATGCTAATGTGAATGGCAGATGAAATGGTGTTCATGTGAAAGACAGATGAAATGATGCTCATGTAAATGATAGATAAAATGAGCAGTGCTCATGTGAATGAGATGGAATTGCACTAAAGCATGACTATAAAACCATGCTCATTATTTTTTTTAATGCATGATTATAAAATTATCCTGTGTATTGTATGATGAAAATATATGGTCATTTGTATGACAGAAGAAATGGTTGTTTAACTGAAGAAACTTATGTTTATGTGTAAAGTCTAAGAAATGTGTTTATGAATAAAGCAGAACCCCTTTTTTGGGACGCTCTAACAAGGAGACCTCTAATACGAGAATGCTTTTTCTGCCACAAAGCAAGTAAATCTACCATTTAACACAGCAACGAATCTCTATTTGGAAGACATTCCTTTAAAGGGGACACTAATGTTGTGAATTCTGAAGTTATCTCCTCCATAGGGGTTTTACTGCAATAAGAACTTAACATTCAATTACTAGAGACACTCTGTATGACTATTATAGGAATTATGTGCCTACATCAACAGTATTCTTATGTACATTTAATAAATAGACAGGGCTTTTAGAAAAGTTTTATCAAAGAAAAAAAAAATCAGCTGCTGAGAGTTAGCATCATTAAGATTTTCCTCTTTTTGTCAACATTGGTCAAAGAACTGAACATTCAAAATTTCTACTTAATACAAAATCATGGAAACATACTGTAGAAAAAAGATATTTCAGGTATTATATAAAATGCACTGCAAAACTATAACAACAATCTCAAATACACATTAATGCACACATCAAAACATGCCAAGAAACAACTCATTTGAAATCAAAAGACCACAAATGAGTGAAAGAAAGCAAAAGAAAACAAGAGTAGAACAACGCGCAAATATCATGACCAATCATGCATGTCCACACTTACCCATTGCCAGCTTTTGCAAATCGGACAAACTAAGTCCGTCACCGTTATCAAAAGCTGAGCAAGGTTGAACGCGTGAACCAAAACTATATCTTCGCACATCACCTGTATGTTAAACATGCGGATGGGCCTTTTTTACACATGATATGAACAATGCTTACATTAAAATACACAAAGAAAATCTCTACAGTTACGAAGTTATCTATCTCTGGAAATAATATTTTTAAAAGAAACTTCTAAATGAACATGAATAAATTCTTGCGAAGTAAACCATTATGTAATGTTTGTGACACTTGGATCCGTTTATATCAACACATCTCACGGTCAATTGCTTACAACCTGTAAGTAAACCATGAGATCGTAAGTTACACAAATTTTTCAATTTTCATACATCACAGGAACCAGATGAAACTACTTGAGCTTGAAACTTCAAAAGTTATACAGTCTCTTACTATACTATGTTCATGAAAATTTTAAAAATATGTAAATGGACAAAGAGAGAAATAAAACTCAGTTTCTGCAGTCATCAATGTTAGGAAGAAATATTTTACAGGTGTTCCTATGAATGTATGAAAAATTAAGTTATATGAAAATAATTTAAATTTTACAATTCACCCTTCAGTATATTGAAAATATATATTGTTACAGTACTGATGACTATTAATAATCATACTTTAATTATGATTTCTTATTCCAACATCACATCAATCAATCAATAATGATCAAAATAATAAAAGTTTCTTTCTTTTTTTTTTTCAAGTTAACAACATGTTGATTACATTGGTGTTTTGTGTCATTAAAATATCAACTTTGTGAGTTCTAAATAATGGTTTTAGGTTTTGTGGGAAACCAAACAAAATTCATTAATTTAAAGTTAGACAAAATATTCACTGCTAACTGATAGGAAACTAAATTCTGCAAATGAAGGATATAATTAGGATAATGTCACTGGAAGTTAAGCATCCTGTCTCAATAATTTCCCATAAGTCATCATGCTCCAGGTAGCCATTTAACATTAAGTTTTAACTTTTCCAGATTCAGTTTAGCAAGGCTACCATAGGTAAAAAAAACCCAACAAAATACAACATATGAAACAACGAAAAACAATAAACAAATCAGAGAAAATGTATTTAAAATTTTGAATTTTATCAAGTCATCTTCAGAAATTCTTAATTGCAGATATTCAGTAGATTCCTTCCTTTATGGATACTCCTAATTAGGAGACTATCTTTTAGGTGAAAACATTCTTATACACTCAAAGAAAAGGAAAAGCTACATTTTAACACTATAACCACTCTATTCAATGGAGACTCATAGCGAACATTTTTCTTTTTGTCTTCAAAGCATCCCCATTTAAAGTACAATATATAATTTAACTCCACTTCTAAAAAAGATATTAAATGGCATTTTCCCTTCTCATAAATCAACTATAGGTTAATATTATCTGATATTGACCAATTTGATAAAGTCCAAATACTGAAAATTCATGTTGGAGAATTCAAGTTATCTGCGATACAGTACAACTGTTATGAGCAAATATGATGAAGAAACCAAAATAGCAATGTATTTTGACATTCAGGAAATTCTGTTATTTACAACCAATTAAACGCAAATCCAAAAATGTTCAAAAAATTTATATATCATACATGTATTGTTTAAGAAATTTACCATAGCATACAATATATTCAAAGCACACAAGTTAACAATATCGGTTTATCAAACATGATTTAAATTAGATTAATTAATAATTTAGCAGATGAAAAGCTTGACAATTAGAGATGGATTATTGGATTTGTCCTAACAGGAAGAATTTAACACTTGGTGAGAATTGTCCACCTCTCTTACACCATAAGGCGGTTTTCCACTCGGCGAATTTATTCGGGCGACACGAAACGTTTATATAATAAAAAAATAATGTGAGCTTCCATATTTTGCAATACTTCAACAAAAAGATTTGTGATACACAGTTTTCACAAACATTGTTTCCGTGTTGACAATAAGGCGTTGGCGGGCAAGTATGCATACATATATCGGTTTAATTCCACACTTATTGGTGTGATTAAATCTTTTATCAAGCTCTGATTGACTGCACATTAGTTCGCATAGCAAAAAGTAGAAACTGTTTGAACTCTGAAAATTTGCCAAAGTAAACCGTGTAATCGAAAAAAGCAAACAGTCTCGTGAAGGAGTCTCTCATGAAAATTGAACTGCGCATGCATACAAACGCATTTGCTTCACATGAATATTAGATAGATTTTAAACATTTCAGCGGTGATGACTTCTACAGCGCACCTCCAGTCTCCTCAATTTTGAAGTCCAGGGGCTGGAATATCGGACGTAGAAAAAAATCAAAAGTGAAAGGATATGATGTAGTAATTAGTCAATTGATTAGTTAGCTATGAAATTAATTATCTGCAAAGTAAGCAGAGAAGCAGGACCGAAAACAATCTCATTAAAATGATTGTCATAATTAAAGCAAGCATCACAATTTTTGTAGCATTATATTAGAAGCTGGTAAACTTCAAAAACAAAACCCAATTTGAAAAAGTTCAATGTTATTGTAAGACTTTTCGTTCAGCCTCGCTCTGGAGGAATAAAAATGTTGATGTTGTGCATCTGATTTTTCTAAGGCATAAAAAAAATGGTGAAAGGATATTTTAAAACTGCGAAAAAAAGAGGCGTAACCACTCCATTTTCCATGGTACAGAACATAACAATCACCAATATGCTCAGTGACATACACAGAAGGTGTGGTCAAAGTGGGGGGGGGGGAATGTTTGTCTGAGCATCCACATTTTTGTTCAAACATGAAAAAAATATAAATAAATTAAATATGGCAAACTAAGTTTACTTTATACATTAACCGCCAAAAGTTTGTCAAGAAGAGACCATTTTATGAACAAAACTCTGGCAACTGACACTGGTGGTAGAAAAAAATATATATTTAAGCAGGAAACGATGTTGAAGAAAGTCAAATCTACATGATTACAATGTGAAGAGGCCTTGCAATCAGTTGATATTATTCCACCTGTTGATATAAATATAAACGTTAATAAAGCAAAGCTTACTATGCAATATCATAAAATTCTACTAAGAATATAGTCGCACAAAATATTCACGATCAGTAGCAGCATAGTTGTGCAAACGATCATTAAAAATCAAGAAAAACCATTAACAATATTAATAATTACAATGATAGTAATAATAAAAATTATAAATGATTGAATGACAATAACAATAACAATGATAATATACAGTTATATAATACAGTAATAGAATTATCAATATCTAAAATAGATATTACCTGTCTCTTATACACATCTAGATGTGTATAAGAGACAGGTACAACTGTTATGAGCAAATATGATGAAGAAACCAAAATAACAATGTATTTTGACATTCAGGAAATTCTGTTATTTACAACCAATTAAACGCAAATCCAAAAATGTTCAAAAAATTTATATATCATACTTGTATTGTTTGAAGAAATTTACCATAGCATATGATATATTCAAAGCACACAAGTTAACAATATCGGTTTATCAAACATGATTTAAATTAGATTAATTAATAATTTAGCAGATGGAAAGCTTGACAATTAGAGATGGATTATTGGACTTGTCCTAACAGGAAGAATTTAACACTTGGTGAGAATTGTCCACCTCCCTTACACCATAAGGCGGTTTTCCACTAGGCGAATTTATTTGGGCGACACGAAACGTTTATATAATAAAAAAATAATGTGAGCTTCCATATTTTCCAATACTTCAACAAAAAGATTTGTGATACACAGTTTTCACAAACATTGTTTCCGTGTTGCCAATAAGGCGTTGGCGGGCAAGTATGCATACATATATCGGTTTAATTCCACACTTATTGGTGTGATTAAATCTTTTATCAAGCTCTGATTGGCTGCACATTAGTTCGCATAGCAAAAAGTAGAAACTGTTTGAACTCGGAAAATTTGCCAAACCGTGTAATCGAAAAAAGCAAACAGTCTCGTGAAGGAGTCTCGCATGAAAATTGAACTGCGCATTTGCTTCACATGAATATTAGATAGATTTGAAACATTTCAGCAGTGATGACTTCTACAGCGCACCTCCAGTCTCCCCAATTTTGAAGTCCAGGGGCTGGAATATCGGACGTAGAAAAAAATCAAAAGTGAAAGGATATGATGTAGTAATTAGTCAATTGATTAGTTAGCTATGAAATTAATTATCTGCAAAGTAAGCAGAGAAGCAGGACCGAAAACAATCTCATTAAAATGATTGTCATAATTAAAGCAAGCATCACAATTTTTGTAGCATTATATTAGAAGCTGGTAAACTTCAAAAACAAAACCCAATTTGAAAAAGTTCAATGTTATTGTAAGACTTTTCGTTCAGCCTCGCTCTGGAGGAATAAAAATGTTGATGTTGTGCATCTGATTTTTCTAAGGCATAAAAAAAATGGTGAAAGGATATTTTAAAACTGCGAAAAAAAGAGGCGTAACCACTCCATTTTCCATGGTACAGAACATAACAATCACCAATATGCTCAGTGACATACACAGAAGGTGTGGTCAAAGTGGGGGGGGGGGAATGTTTGTCTGAGCATCCACATTTTTGTTCAAACATGAAAAAAATATAAATAAATTAAATATGGCAAACTAAGTTTACTTTATACATTAACCGCCAAAAGTTTGTCAAGAAGAGACCATTTTATGAACAAAACTCTGGCAACTGACACTGGTGGTAGAAAAAAATATATATTTAAGCAGGAAACGATGTTGAAGAAAGTCAAATCTACATGATTACAATGTGAAGAGGCCTTGCAATCAGTTGATATTATTCCACCTGTTGATATAAATATAAACGTTAATAAAGCAAAGCTTACTATGCAATATCATAAAATTCTACTAAGAATATAGTCGCACAAAATATTCACGATCAGTAGCAGCAGAGTTGTGCAAACGATCATTAAAAATCAAGAAAAACCATTAACAATATTAATAATTACAATGATAGTAATAATAAAAATTATAAATGATTGAATGACAATAACAATAACAATGATAATATACAGTTATATAATACAGTAATAGAATTATCAATATCTAAAACATATTAATAATGTTAATGATAATGACACAGTGAATATAAAAACCGAACCTGTACTATAATTATGCATAACATATTACAGTGTTGAGTTATTTTTATATACAATACAATGCAATATGAAGGAATAAGGGTAAAAATAAATAATGAGTACAAACCATCACTTTTTCTAACTTTTTCTAATGATGCTCTTCGCCTTAAAACAACTTTCCCGGAGTCGCTGTCATAATCTGCCCTATTAAGATGTGTTTCACTGCCTGACTTTGCTCGTGGTGACGAGGACACAAGCGAATTCTCCGAAGAAGCAGGTGATATAGATGACGGGCGTCTTGGTGTGTTTGCTGGCGAGTTTTGTGTTGCTTTCCGAAGACCTGTGTTAAATAATAAATCACAATCACAAAATACTTGAGCGGAAATGCCTATAAAAAAGGGAAATTATGTGTAATGCGAGAGAGAGAGAGAAAAAAATTATATCAAAAACGTTATGGAAAACAATATTTTGATCTACTGTACCTTCGTGTCTGTAATTGTTTGTATTAGGAATCTAACTAAATGAAACGCTGGACCTTAGGGCTTCTCTCCCAAACCCCCACAATGGGCTCCGCTCCTGGACCCACTGGGTGCTTTTGGGGCCCCAGTAGGACTCTCCCCCAAATTCCCACAATGGGCTCTGCTCCTAGACCCACTGGGTGCTTTTGGGGCCCCAGCAGTTACAATACCCCTGGCACCAGGACCACTCTGAGCTCTGAAGAGTGAAAGCAATTGCAAATAGGCCTCTACTGTGGAAGCCACTGTTAGATAATTATATTTTAAATATAATAACAACAGTTATGAAACAACTGTTTGTGCTTGTTATACTTACTATCACAAAATGGAGAGACAAATTGAAGAAAACTAATATATGCAAAGACAGGTAAACAAAGGAAACCAGCAAAAAGGATTTCACCCAGTGGTAGTTGCCAGTTTCTCAAACAATTTCATTCCAAATTTGGTAAAAATGATGTATACAAGTCCAATTATTATTTATTATTATTTTTCTACTAGATATTACGATCTGCTAATTGCCGTACCTCCAGATTTCTCAACTCGTATATCCCTTTTGCTATAAGATATTACAACTCAAATGTCCAAATATGTTTATCACTTGTCTCTTTTAACTTTATTTATTTAGTGTATACATAGGCCATATCTTTATTCCATACTTATATTGGTTACTTTTTGCTGTTCTCGTTATATTTACGATGTTTGTATATATTTTTGTATGCATGTAGTTACACCAGAACAAAATTTCTGTATTTCGGACAAAAAAATAATCTTGAATATTGTACAGTTCTAGATGGACTGATGACTAAGATGTGGAAGGATGTGGAAGAAAAAATGTGGTGAGTCCGGGGCTGAGAAAGGAAAGATATGGTAGGATGTTGGTATAAGAACGCATGTACAGTAGTGATATTGGTAATGAGACAGCACTTTTAAATGTAGTGTTGATTATTAACTTTATATGGTGGCAATGCAGTTGCAAAATTGAATCGGCGACTATCGCAGATAGGGTGAGTGATTGTATGGACACTGAGCTTAAGAAATACACAGTGCCTTATCGAAAACTGATTAAAAAAACGTACTATCCTCTTGCATTTTGGCCAAAATTTGTACATCTGTTACATCCTCCAACCTGGCTAGGCCGTCCTCACTCCTTCTTCTTTCATCATTCCTTCGGTCCTCACTCCGTCTTCTTGTTGGCGTACTTACTAAACTAGGAGGGGATAGAGGTGGGGAATTGCCAGTTGATGACTGCTCTGAATGACCTGCCAGACATGAAAAGAGAAATTTTTGTTTACTAAAAATTATTTATTTAACTAATTATCACATGTACATGTATGATTTTACAGTACAGTAAGGTACAACAAATACCTAAGAATTCTTATTTTGACTATAGAGTTGAATTGTATCTTGTATAAATACAAAAATAAAAATAATAAACAAACATTTATATTGCATGCCAATCTCACAGGTGGCCAAAGTGCAGCCCGTGTGCAACAAGCCTACTGTGACATGCTCACTGGCTGTCTACAGTAGCATTTGCAAGTGCATGCTCACTGTGTTTTTATAGATATTTCATGGACGTTCTTTGGTAACTGCGAATTTCTGAGTTCAGAATTCCCATTCCTTCGTAGTAAAAGCTACCGCTACCTATAGTTTCTTAATGACTGTTTCCTCTTGATCGTAGCAGCTTAAATGTGTGAGTGAAAAGGTCTTGCCTAAATAAGAACACCCCTTAAAAAAGGACTTTCTTTTGGTCTTGAAGGTGTCTCCTACTACTATATTACTAATGGAGGTATTACTAATAAAAATATAAAAAGTATAAAACAAAAAGTATTAAGGTATAAATGACATACATGTGTCTATATTATCTAATCCATTTGAATTTCTTCTTAAGGCTGATGGTCTTCCAAAACTGTTTCTTTTAGCTGTGAAAATAAAAAAAAAAAGATTTAAAAACCTTATAGTTCAAATTAATTTCCTTGCTTAATTTTTTTTTTCCGACTTTATACATTTTTCATTAGTTTTATTAATGTTCTGTTTATTAAGATGTTTGTATGATGCACCACCTGTTAAGTGCCACGGATATAAATGGTGTATGTCAATAAATTATTGTTATTATTTAATAACAAACATGATGTTGGTAGTATATTTATTTTTTAAAGAAAATAATGAGTGGCTTTGGTAAATATTATTTCTTTTATTTCTCACAGGTCCTGGTTTCAATTCCTGTGATATTTCTTTTTCTAAAGCCGGGCACTCACTGAGCATGACTGCCTTCGGCCGACGTCATTTTATAAAAAAGGCAACACGACCATGCACGCGCAACAGATCGTTTTTAATGAACATTCATCGTTCGACGCACTGACTGAACGGCTTTACATACCAGCAAATTTATGTGACAAATGAATATTATGCCAATATTTGGGCATATTATGACATCATCATGGGCAGATTCCCTAAAGACACATAGTTCATAAAGCATTACTTCATCCTTTGATGAATGCATAGCTACCAACCGTCTCGTATCGTGTGAGACGGTCCCGCATTTCAAAGTGTTTTTGGATGAAACACGCATTTTGCAGCAACACGAGTGATCATAAATTTGTCATGCATTTAGACCAAGTTTATGCGTGATAACGAATTATCATGAACTCAATGGAAAATGTTTTTAAAATTAGAAGAAATTTGTTTTATTAACAATATAAAAACAGTCATGGAGCAACTTGAGTCATTAGAGAGCTTTCCTTATCTAATTGAAGAATCAATTCACGGACAAAATTTCTTCCTTGACCAAAACAACCGAGCCAACCAAGCACTTAGAATCTAGAAAGTGTGTGGGGTCTTGAACATTACTGTAATTGCCACAATCAACTGTTAATAATGTAACTGTAATTTGGACCTCACCGGGCTCCGCCCCTGGACCCTGGCAGTGGTCCTGGTAGTTTCTCCCAGCCCCCAGTCAACTGGTGTAGTCACGCATTTCAAATCTCTCAGGTTGGTAACTATGTGAATGCAATAAGGAAAATAAATAAAATAAAAATAATCAATTTACCTCTCGAGACTTCGTCTAGTTTGGCTTGCAAGGATTTCTTGGCCGACTCCATCTCTCTACTAGGATTGTCAAAATCCTTTCGCACCCATTTTTCTGGGCTCAAGAGCCTCTGTTCAGGTGTCGGTACCTTGACTGGTGACATATACAACCTACATAATAAAAAAATACCATTAATTATTAACGATACACTGTAAAAAAAAATCAATCAAAACTTATTACTATTATCCAACTAGGAAATGAAAAAAAAAAAAAAGGTTTTCACGGATTTACTTATGTTTTTCTACAATAATTCTTAAATCGATTTCTCAATGGGTCTAAGCAAAATAGTATGGTAAAGCCTTCTCTCCATCAATTATTAAAGGGATTTTTTTTACACCTAAATTTTTTATTGTAGTAAATTAGTAACTTACCTAAATATCTCTAAATAACTTACAAATTAATAAACTAAAATATGGATTTACATTGTTTCAATTTTTATAGCTCATGACAGATAATGAATCCCTAATTTTCCAACATTTCTAAACCCTGCCAGACTATCATATTTTATTTAACAAGAACATGTGTAAATTCTTATCATGACCTAAAAATGACTACAAACACCTTAAAATTATTTATTTTAGTAAATTATTAACTCATCTAAAAGTATAATAAGATTAATAAAAACATTAATTAAACAGGCATTTTAAATATTAACATTTCTATAGTCTATCCACATAATGTGCCCCTGAAAATTAGATAGTAAAATGTCTGTAAATCTTTGAAAACTTGATTTGTGTTTAGTCTAAATCTATATTGAAAGATTTCTTTTGTTTTTTCACTTTACACTTCATGGTTTACAGGGATTTTATGATCTTTGCGATTGGTGCATCGCCCTTTGAAGATTTGTTGGAAAATGTTGGATAGTAACCATGAATCACTGACAATATAAATTAGCTAATGAATTTGTAACAAAATTTCTATGATAATGCAAGCTATAGAATCATAATTTACCTCTTTTCTCTTGGTCTAAAAAAATATTGGGAGATATTTTCAAAAATTCTGAAGAATACAGTAGTTTATATAGCTGCAGAGAATATTCTCTAATATTTGATAATTTTGTCTCAAATTATTTTACGTACCTACAACAACACATCCTATGGGGTTCATTTTGCTGCTACAGGTATATAGTATTTTAACATTTTAATATGGTTGAAATAATAATATTATACTATGAAAATTAATAAGATAATCTGAGATTACAAATCCTTTCTCCATATAGGCCTAGTATCTGTTCCCTCGATCCGCTCTGTGTATGATGGGCTATTATTACTGTATTTTCTGAGCCTGAATACCCTGTACCTGAATACCTAACCATATGCAGGCCATGTATGATCGGTGATATTGTTACTTTTTTATATACTTGATGATAAAAAAATCCCAATTCAAATTCCTGTGACCTTGAACTTTGACCTTGCCTTCCCAAAATTTATTAATTTTAGATTATTATGTACATTCCACTAAATTTTTCCATTTCTAATGGTTTTTGTGTAATCAGGTTAATTAACAGACAGACAGCAGTGAACACATACGGTAACCTCCTTTTCTTATTGTTCCAGTTTACATTACGTACGATGCAGTGAGTGCCTGGCTAAAGCCTGGTTCTCACGAGAGCCCTGGTATCCGGATCGGGCGCTAACCGTTAACACCAGCGTGAGAACGCTCGATCAGTTAGCGCTAACCGTCAGCGGTATCCAGATACGCTAACGGATAACAAGCGCTATCGGTTAGCAAGTTGAGGGCGTTTCTATCATCAACCAATCACACGTACGCGTTTACAATTTCCAGCTTCTTATTGGCCAGTGATTCGATCATCATATTGTTGGTATCCGGATCGGGTTTTTTCTCGCATGGACGCACAGCAGCTAACGGTTAGCAGGATCCGGATCCTACTAACCATTACTGCCGTGTGAGAACATAGCCTATGTGTTTAAAAAAATGGAAGAGGGAGGGATTGGCTTATAATAACCTTACCAGTAGTGTATCTAGGAGTATACCTATTGAAATTAGAGGGAATGAGGATTTAAAGATTAAGAGAGGACACTCTACAGTAGCTGGCAAAGGGTGATCTTATATTAAGTAGCTGGCAAAAGGGTGATTAAGCTTAATTGTATTCGCAGTGAGAATGGGAAGGGAAACACTGGGGAAGGGACTGGGGTGCAGGGTTTTCTTAATGGGCCCCATGCACCCCTAGATACTGTATGCCACAGTACCTCACAAACTACTATAATATAATGATACTGATAACAATCCAACCAAAATCCGAACAACATATTGTAATGGTTAAGTGTGGAGAAATACAGATAAATTCTTCTCAGGTAGAAGGCCACATACATTAGTTAGATTCAATTTCATGATTCAGCAAGGTGAGCTTACACTAGAGAAACTACTGATGCATAGTAAAATGCACTCTGAAGACTGTCCTATTTTACTAGATATCATTAAGGTAGGTAAATACTTTGTACAACCTGACTGTAGTTTCGGCTAAGCCTGACAGCTCTAGGTGTGCCTCATCAACAGCTTTTAGGGCAGAGGTGCCATTTGCCCACTTAATATGCCCAATATCATTTAGGCCTAGTTTGATCTCACTAGTCCTGCGTTCAAGCCTTTTAACCCTCTTTCTAATCTCCTCTATTTCACTTTTTACGCATTCACTGACAGCACTTTGGATACTGGCCTGCAATGGCCCAGCCAAATCCTCTTGTATAAATTTGTTGATAACCGTCAACAGTTTGACTAGGAGCATATCAATCTTTTCCGCATCCGAGTCGAAGATTTTGGCCAGTTCACCTCGCACGATCCAGGTAAGCTCCTCAGTGTTGGTCAAGTTATTGCAACAGTGACCAGTACATGTGCACGTGGTCTGGTCAGTCTCCATAACACGCACTGAAAATATTTCAATCAACTAGATTTATTGGTACAGTATTAATACAAAATCAGGTTATTACAGATCTAGTCTATTCCCCAACCGAAAGAAGAGAGTATCCAACAATCCATGCAAATAAATGTTCAAGTTACCACAGGAAATCTGGTATTTCATGTCAATTAATTCTCAAGTCAACATTGTGTAAGTTATAATATTCACAGAGTTCAATTGGCCAGCGGTGACAATAGAGCATGTGCGCCAACGTGGTGACCAGTCGAACATATGCAGCTGAGATGATTTTTTTTACGCACCGGGTCACATGATATGCAGCAGTGCGAGGATTGTCGTCAGCAGTATGCATAGCGTGAAATGCAATGTAACAGATCATGAAAATCAATCCGACTTCAACAGGAAGTTTGCATTGTTCATGGTATCTACGGTAGAGGCATTTCAATGGCCTTGCAAAATCCAATCACTCTCAGTTACTTTGATGTCATCAACTTTTTGGTCTTTGCCAAGTTTTTTGACCCACTCTTCACTGTTTAAATAGATGTCGGAAGCACAGTGCTAAATATAGTGCTCATAATAGAGAGCGCCACCAACTTTGCAACAATTGGCATGACAATAAAAATGACAATTAAAATAACAATGAAAATTATTAATTTATAATGAAATGTAAGATGGAGGTCATTATCATCACCCATAGGACCTCATTTGGATGAAATGTAAAAATAATAATTATAACAATAATTTTTAAATTAACTAATTATTTTATTTGGTTAAAATTTAGTGAACAATTACTTTGAAATGTTGAAATAATATCAATGAAACCAACAAAAAAACCTTGTCTTGTATAATTTTTTACTATGAAAATACTTGAAACAAAATAAACAGAAAATATGAATATTAATAGATGCTTCAGTTAATGTTTGGAGAACATCGGATCTCAAACTATGGTCTCAGCCCAAAATCTGGTCGCCAAATTAAAGGGTCGTGAGATTAAACAATTGTAAAAATTTCTGCAGTAAAGACTTCAATTTGGTTCAAAACTTGATCAATTTTGAGTACCTGTTTTCAAAAGACATCTATTCTTGGGTCACAGCAAATTTGCTGTACGTTTTGTTTGAGTAGTCGGCAAAAAAAATTCGAGAATCACTGATTGTATTACATAATAATGATATCAATAAAGACAATAACTAGATAGAGCAAAGAATTTAAAGTATTAAAGCAACTGATTCCTATTTATAAAAATGGAATCTAATTTATCTCAAAAAGTAGGCCTACAGAAACAAACGCAAAAGAAAATAAATAGCTTCAGAGGATTCATCATTCTTCATGTAATATATTTTTAATTATTTTATTCATTATTTAGCCACATGGGCCAAGAACAGTCCTAGTGCAAAACTTAATCACTGTACTAGTTCCAATCATACAACATACATCATACAAGAGCATGATGTTTTAAACTAATTATTATTATTATAATTGGCCTAGGAGAGACTTTTCTTATAGCTTGTTTAGAGCACCTGCCGCCGGCCAATAAAGGTGCTTTCGAATAAAATAAAATTTTATTTTTGGTCAAATACTGTAGTGCACCAGATGCTACGAAAAAATGGAAATTTGAAAAAAAAAATGAAAGTTTTTCTTTGTTTTTATAACACCCGCTGCTGCCTTGAAATCTCTGAAAATAGGATACTGTAAGTATATTTCTTCCTAATTACCGGTATATAGATCAAAAGCACTTAACCATCCCATTATTACACTGTTTACATTCACCAAAAACATTTTATTTTTATTTTCTTCTCTGTCTGGATGTTTTTGGCAAAACTAAGTTTGCTAAATGAAAATCCAAATTTTATTCATTTAATTTTTTAAAAATTTTTCTGCCCTTCGATCGTAAAAAAAAATATGTTCATGAAACAAGGTATCAAAAAAGTCTTTCCTTAGGGGGTGGTAGTTGTTTTTAGTAGTGAGGATATAGTAGAGTCTGTACCTTGTAACACTGACAGGAATTGTCAGAACACAGGAAAGAAGGCAAGCACCTTAACCACCAATCTAGTAAACATACTCCAGCCATTCAATTAGTAATCAAAATGATCACTGTCTGAATTAATTATGAGTTCTCTGAACCTACACATTCCAATCAGGTGCAAGGTATGTGCTCATCATCATTAAGCTAAAAGATAATGCTATGAAAAATACGACTAAACAAAGTGCTTTCAAAATCACACAAATTTTAAAATAAAA